GCACCACCACACCCAATCTCCAATCACCATCTGCCCTGCAAGGCACGTGGTGCCAGGGATCGAATCCTGTTCCCTGTGCTCTGCCTAAGCTGGTTCTTTAGTCTGCTGAGCTATCTGGCTGGCCCTTGAAATATAAATCTTAAAAGAAAAATATATACTACAACAATACAAAAAATCATAGCGTGAAAAACAGCATATTTTCAGCATACATTTCTAGTAAAGTGCTGTTAGTACACTATGTATGAGGTACTATATTTCTGAGCCAAAACCAAACACCTAAAATTAAAAAACAAACAACAGAATTCAACTACGATGTCACAAAAAAGGAGACATTCAACTGACCAATATATGAACACAGCTGAGGGTATACATGAGGCCCTGAGTTGGATCCCCCAAATCACAAAAACAAACCAAACTTATATATGAATGTGTGTACAAATAGCATTAAGTAGCCAGGTATGGTGGTGAATGCCTGTAATCCCAGCACTTGGAAGGCTCAGCCAGGATGATCGCTGTAAGTTCAACTTCAGCCTGGGCCACACAGTTGAGTTCAAGGTGGGTCTGAACTACATAGAAAGGCCCTGTCTGAAGAAGAAAGAAAGAAAGAAAGAAAGAAAGAAAGAAAGAAAGAAAGAAAGAAAGAAAGAAAGGCCAGTCAAATAGTTCAGTGGATTAAAGCACCTCTAAGCAGGCACAGGGGCCAGGGTTTGATCCCTGGGCCTGCCATGCAGTGCTGGGACATGTGGAGACGGCAATTGAGACTGGGTGTGGGGACGCGCACCTGTAATCCCAGCTCTTAGGAGACTATAAACAGCTGGATCACTCCAAGTCTGATCTAGTAGTGAGACCTGAACACCCTGTAGACCCTTCCCTAAAAAATATGAAAAAAGAAAGGAGAGAGAGAGAGAGAGAGAGAGAGAGAGAGAGAGAGAGGACAAAAGCACTAATTAGACAAATTATCATTAGAACCAGCAGATACTATCGCATGGTTATCAGAAAGACAAAACAATTACAACAGACTAAAAATCACAAAGGTATTAATTGCAAATATCAAACACTGCTGGTGGTGGCGTGAATTGGTAAAGCTAATCAAAAAAGGATTTGGTGGTACCTGCTCAAGCACACCCCATGAACCATCAATTCTACTCCTCAGCAGAACATGAATGCACAGTCTGTACTATCAGTACCAATTAGATCACAGAAGTAGTAATTACAACATCCAGAGAAATGGATGAAATGCTAATACAAAACAGGCATGCAAAAGCTTTCTGGGGCATCTGCAGTGGTTCATTTATATTGATGTAGGTAGTAATTACATGGTGTTTCTTTTGTTTTTGTTTTGTTTTGGTGTTTCTTTTGTGATGACTCACAACCTATATAACTTTGTATTTGTCCTGGTTTTATCTTGTTCAATACAGTAATAACAAAAAATTTGTTTATTAAATGAATGGTGGGGAGGGGCAGAAAGGAGGATCATAAAAGAGTATTAGGACACAAATGCTAATTGTAGTTCTAGGTGCATGGATGTGTGCGTACATCTTAAATATATGCAGATTATGTCAATTCTCTCAGCTACTCATTGCTGGGACAAATACCTGACACCCAAAATAAAGGAAGGAAACGTTAATTATTTAGCTCACAGTTGCTGGAGATTTCAGGCCATACTCAGCTGGCTCCAAGACAGACTGGCACATGGCAGAGAGCAACCTTTCACGGTGGTAGCAAAGAGTGGAGAGCAAAGGGAGGAGTAGCAGCACCAATGGCAGCAGAGAGCAAGTCCGGCTCCCTTATGCTGCATTCAGGCTATCTGCCCCAGGCTGGGTGCAGTACTCACACCCATAATCCCAGCAGCATTTACACCCATAATCCCAGCAGCACTTACATCTATAATTCCAGTGGATCATCAGTTAATCACAATATGTATGAGTTAATCACTGTATGAGGCTTTGGGGAGACAATTGTATGAGCTTCATACAGTCATGAGGTGGACTTCTAGAATGTGATGATCCACTGGGATTATGGATGTAAGTGCTGCGGGGATTATGGGTGTAATCCATAATCATCCAAGACACAAACCATAGCATCAATTATACTGCAAAAAAACTAAGAAAAAAGTAGGATGTATATAAACCTGTAGTTATAAAGACAAGTCTTAGGTAAAATTAGAGGCCAATAATCCATCAGCTAATCATTAGTCTCAATAGTTTGGAAAAGACAAACAAATTTTATAAAAGGAAAGTAAAAAGAATCTTTAGAAAAAAATTAAATTTATGTTGAAAATGAACATATTACAGAGAGCAGCAATGCCAATCTTTTTTTTTTAAATGTATTTGCTACAGGGTCTCACTATGCAGCTTGGACTGCTAGTGATCCTCCTGTGTTCAACCTCCCCAGCGCTGGGATTACAGGCATGGGCCACTATGCCCGGACTTGTTGGCCGGCTCATCACACCCAGGGGCAGCCCAGTGTGGTATGTGGTGCCATGGATCCAGCCCTGTCCCTGCGCTCGCCCAAGCGGGCGCTTAATGCACTGAGCTGACTTGCTGGCCCAGCAATGCCAAATCTTGACTCAGCTCTGAAAACGTAGTCACACTGGCAGAGTGCTGGTAACTTGATAATGAAGAATTATACAATTATGTGCTAAAAAAAAATACAAACTATATGATTGCAACATATAGAAGTATATATGCATTCATGTATCAATGATAGGGTACATTCTAGAAAAGGCATCATTAAGTGATTCCTTCATTGTACAAATATCAGAGTGTACTTACACAAACCTGGAGGTCACAGCCTACTACACACCTAGGCTCTATGTTATAGCCACGGTCTTATAGGAATCCATCACTTACCAGAATGATGTGCTCCATCTTCATGCAGCACAGGACTATACATTATAAATCAGCAAAGAGATGAATAAACAGTCCAGGTGAACCAAAAACACGACATTTAGGAAGACCGTCGCTTTTCAGACATTTACAATTGACAGACTGACTGCACTGCAGAGGAGTAGGAAAAAAAGACTCCCCATTGAATGAAAGTTGCTGGGAAAATATGGTATCTATGTGTCACAAAAAATGCTACTGGCCCATTTTCTCATGTCACATAGTGTATCACCTTCAGAGGTAAGAAACACCTAAATATAAAAGCAAAACTATAATAGTTGTTTTAGGAAAGGAACTTCTTTTGAAATTTACACAAAACGACATTTTTTTCCCTGTATTTTAGGGAAGGGTCTACAGCGTGTTCAGGGTCTCACTGCCTAGATATGACTCATAGTGATCCTCCTGGTTTTTTTTTATTTTTGGCAGAACCAGGGATTGAACTCAGGCCCTTGCGCTTGCCAGGGAAGCGCTTATTCCACTGAGCCATCTCCCCGGCCCGATCCTCCTGTTTACAGCCTCCCAAGTGCTGGGATTACAGGTTTGAGCACCACCACGCCCAGTCTCAACCATCTTCCACACCCCCGCCCCCCCCCAGGCCTGGCCCCTGCGCAGGCGCTTTAATCCACTGAGGAATGGCCGGCCCTACACAAAACAATATTAAGTGATAAAATATACATAAAGTTTAATGACATTAAATTCTATTCATCAAAGGAAATCACAAAAGGTGCAAAGAGACACAAGACTGAGAAAATTTTGCCTTACATGTTACTAAACACTTTAAGACTGTAACCTACTGGAGGGGCCAGGGAGATGGCTCAGTAGAATAAGCGCTTCCCTGGCAAGCCCAAGGGCCTGAGTCCCTGAGTTCAATCCCTCGTTCCGCCAAAAAAAAAGAAAGAATGTAACCTATTGAGAGTCCAGAAAAAAACAAGACTGGAATGGGTTAACTTAAGTTTGTGCTTTAACTGTGAGAATTATTAAGAAAAACCTTGTGCTTCCTGTTATCACTCTCTGCTCAATGCTGTTTAACAATGAATAACTGTTTCTTATCAAGGCAGCAAGCTGAAACAAATTCCCTCCCTGTCTCCTGTAAACATAGTCAGCTTAGGATGCATCCTGTAAAAATCTGCACTTATCGCTAAACTATAAAAGATGTTTAGTTGCAAACAGTTTGCAGCTGTGTCAAATGAATGTAGTTTTCTGTTGTTCTGTGCTGGGTAACAAATTCGCTCACCAAACTGGATGTGGTTTCTGTTATAAATACGCCCCTGCTACCTACGATCGAGGATCACTGCGAGTTGGAGGCTAGCCTCCACTACAAAATGAGTTTAAGGCTGCCTGAACCGTACAGTGCAGGCCCAAGACCTCGTGTCAAAAAAATAAAGGAAGCTCGGAGGAAAATGAGTGACCCCTGAGGGGAAGGAGGGCTTGAACTACACCTGTGAACTACAGCTCCTTTACCACAGTAACCCCGCAAAAGAAGCTGTATTACCCCATAAGGATCCTACAGGTCGTCATCCCAAAATCTGGTGTAGTGTGGATCTGAAGTATAGCTCTGCCCAAAAAACACTCCAGCAAGGGCGGAAGTCACCCCACAGATTATGGACAGGACTCTCGGGACAGCTGAGATGCAGTCTCCACCCCACAGCTGGAAGGGAAAAGACTGCCCCGGAAGGTCTGGGGCCTGCAGACTCTACAGTCGACCCAGCGGAGCGGGGTACCAAGGATTCCACTCGGCCTCCCTCCCCCGTCCCAGGCGCCGGGCCACACACTCACCTTTTCGGGTTCCATCACTCTCCTAGTGTATCTCCCACGCCTAGAGAGCACAGGAAGCCAGAGGCTGGAGCCGAGTCACGTGGGTCAACAGAGCCAAAGACAGGACGCGAAGCGGAATGCCAGGACTGTGAGCGCCGGATACGCTGACCCAAGAAACTACGAATGCCCGCCCCATCCGCTCTGGCTGTACGTCTGATTGGACAATTCTCAACCTATCATAGAGCGAGTCTTCAGTCCCACCCCGCCCACTGGGCATGAATGACACTAAATATCACCAATCCTGGGCTGCGTAAGACCACGCAGGGCAGTTCTTGTGGCGTAGTTAGAAATTATCAGCTGAAAAGACCACGCCCTACCACCCACTTGAGCGCTGTCAGACCGTTATATAACCTCAGACTGAGGCACTTACGCTTTTTTCTCTTTTTTGTAATCCCTTTTGACCCTTCTTCTACCCTCACATTCCAGCACCCTTTTTCTGTTCTTGATCTTCAATAAATGCAGCTGCTTTTTGTTTATCACCAGATGTACGCTTTACAGTTCTTTGCTTGGTGGACCCAAGAGCTTGGAATCTGTCATGTCCACCGCACAGTTACATGTAGTGTATTTTTTTCTCACACATTGTTAAGGATTGCACCCCAAAACCGTGACTAAATCTATTTTCAAATCGGGACTTCCTCTGGATAGGGGGACCTACTGCTAAGAGCAAATTTGCTTTTAACCTTTATATAAGGTACTATCAATTTATTAGTCATATATATGTATTACAAATGAAAATAATATAATGATAATTATTTTTAAATTTCATTTACCTTATCTGGCCTCTAGTCTTGGAGAAGAGGTATCTTAACATTTGAAATGAAAAACAATCTCTACAGCAACATGTACAATGCAAATAAATTGTGATGTGAAAGTGTAAATTTTTAATTTTCTAGTAATTCAAATTTGTATGTTTGGGTTTTTCTGGTTTTTTAATTTTTTTCATAATTTTATTGATAAACAGCTAGCAATGAGACAGTTTCAAATCAAATCGGTAGGACAGTTTCAATAACCAACACACTGCATAAATTCTTCTTAGTGATTAATTGCTGTACAAGATGCGGACTTGAGATCCTA